AGTGGAAAGTTTCTCCTCGAATGTGCTGTTTTGATTGAAGCTTGAGGGAGAGAGAGCTGCATAATCTTTGCTTTATTCCTGTGGGCCACAAGGGAAATAATTTACAGTTAGTTGTGCAACATCCCTGCAGCAATTCTATCCAAAATAATGAATTGATTTTTTCTTGGAAAGCCAATGTGCTCTTTAATTGGCTTCAGCTTTTGAGATGTAATTGAAAGCATAGATTTATTTGCATGTGTCATCCAACAGGAAAACTTTTAAATTGGGAAGCTCATGAACAAGAGTATTTTAAAAGTTAATCCATTACCATGGAGTGCTGTAACTGCCGTAGCCCGAGAGGTTTGTACGAAGTGAATGAGAACCTCAATCCCATTTGAGTTTGTCAAATGACACTGTTGAACACGTGCATCCTTTTCTTCAAGCTTCATACATTTTACAGGATGTATTCTTCTCTTTTACTATTGTAACCGTTTTTAGATGTAGATTCATATCCTGGTTTAGCCTTGATTCCAGAAAAGATCTTTAAATGCTTCACAGCTAGGGGAACATTATGTAATCAAAATATTGCTTTATCTCTTGTGGACATTACTGAAGATGCTCTTGCCATTTATTTTAATTCATTTTAGTAATTCAGCTCATTAATTCTCATTAATGTCCTTGACACAGCACACAAGACAATTAACTAGAAAATGTAGGTCATAACACTGTTACGTCGCTTTCACTTGTCTGTATATTGAGTTATGTTCACTTCTTTTAATATTTTTAAAAAGCGAAACCACGACTATGTCAGGTTGAAGGGATAGTTCACTCTAAAATGAAAATTAAATCATAATTAACTCATCCTGTTGTTGTCCTAATGCCGTATGCCCTTCTATCTTTTATGGACCATGAAAGGAGAATGAAAAAATAATTATTTTGTCCCCCTCACGCTCGTCAATATGTGATGCGATTTGGGAAAACCCACATCATGGTGAAATTTGACCTATTACATATAATTATGGATTATACACTCACCTAAAGGATTATTAGGAACACCTGTTCAATTTCTCATTAATGCAATTATCTAATCAACCAATCACATGGCAGTTGCATGAATGCATTTAGGGGTGTGGTCCTGGTCAAGACAATCTCCTGAACTCCAAACTGAATGTCAGAATGGGAAAGAAAGGTGATTTAAGCAATTTTGAGCGTGGCATGGTTGTTGGTCCCAGACGGGCCGGTCTGAGTATTTCACAATCTGCTCAGTTACTGGGATTTTCATGCACAGCCATTTCTAGGGTTTACAAAGAATGGTGTGAAAAGGGAAAAACATCCAGTATGCGGCAGTCCTGTGGGCGAAAATGCCTTGTTTGATGCTAGAGGGCAGAGGAGAATGGGCCGACTGATTCAAGCTGATAGAAGAGCAACTTTGACTGAAATAACCACTCGTAACAACCGAGGTATGCAGCAAAGCATTTGTGAAGCCACAACACGCACAACCTTGAGGCGGATGGGCTACAACAGCAGAAGACCCCACCGGGTACCACTCATCTCCACTACAAATAGGAAAAAGAGGCTACAATTTGCAAGAGCTCACCAAAAATGGACAGTTGAAGACTGGAAAGATGTTGCCTGGTCTGATGAGTCTCGATTTCTGTTGAGACATTCAGATGGTAGAGTCAGAATTTGGCGTAAACTGAATGATCACATGGATCCACCATGCCTTGTTACCACTGTGCAGGCTGGTGGTGGTGGTGTAATGGTGTGGAGGATGTTTTCTTGGCACACTTTAGGCCCCTTAGTGCCAATTGGGCATCGTTTAAATGCCACGGCCTACCTGAGCATTGTTTCTGACCATGTCCATCCCTTTATGGCCACCATGTACCCATCCTCTGATGGCTACTTCCAGCAGGATAATGCACCATGTCACAAACCTCGAATCATTTCAAATTGGTTTCTTGAACATGACAATGAGTTCACTGTACTAAAATGGCCCCCACAGTCACCAGATCTCAACCCAATAGAGCATCTTTGGGATGTGGTGGAACGGGAGCTTGGTGCCCTGGATGTGCATCCCACAAATCTCCATCAACTGCAAGATGCTATCCTATCAATATGGGCCAACATTTCTAAAGAATGCTTTCAGCACCTTGTTGAATCAATGCCACGTAGAATTAAGGCAGTTCTGAAGGCGAAAGGGGGTCAAACACAGTATTAGATGGTGTTCCTAATAATCCTTTAGGTGAGTGTATATCCATATGAAAGCTGGTATCAAGCCCTTTCCAAGTCTGTTTTTATTTTTTTCATAGCTTGTTGGTAGCAAAATATATGTTTATCTGAAGTTGGCTGATCGCTATGATTTTCAGGAACGGAATTTTGAGAAAAACAGGTTTAATTAACTGTCACATCCTGCTGACCTGACACTTGGCACTCTTTTTTATTGCCTTTTTTTTCATATCACATAGTTTAGTAATCATCATTTATTTGAAAGCTTACAAACTCAAAATTCATCCTGTGAGTCCATTATGACATCATTTATTGTACTGACATCAGGAATTAGCAGTTTGAGGCGAGCAAGATCGTTTAAGTGAGCAGCTATTTCAGGCTCCGTTGTTTTCTTGTTCTCCTCCATCTCGAGATAATGTTATAAAACTGCGCGTCGTTACAGTTTAAACAGGATTGGCGTGAAATGCGCACTGATACACCTTCACTGTGCATGTTATGTGGTTTATTTTGATAGGTAAACTATTTTTGTAGTGTTAAGAGACGGACAGGTATGGGGGATTTTTTTGCACCTCCGCCGGGCGTTAGAGAAATGGTCGCATTAGAGAAAGAGAGTACTTTCAGCTTGCCACTATAAATCGCTATTTTTCTGCACTAAACAAGGGAATTTTGCCAAGATATTTTCAGAGATAAGAGACAAGATGTTATGGAATAATAATTTAATGAAAAAAAATTTGTTTACAAAAAACGGATTTTTTGATCTTCCTGAAAACGGCCCGACATCTGACAGGTTTTCCCAGATCGCATCACATATAACGGCAGTGAATAATGACAAGTATCAAGCTTTTTAAAAAAGACACAAAAGTATAACAGAATGATCCCATGGGACACATTCTGCATTCCAAGTGTTCTGGGGTATACGATAGGGTTTGGTGAAAAACAAACTGAAATGTATTATTTAATGACATTTTCTGGAGTGAAAACAGACGCTTCATCTTTTGTGTGAAGTACAATAAACTTCATAAAACTCATCAGTAAAGTTTTGGCCATCATTCGGACAGGGTCCGCTACAGCAGGCTTGTACTAATTGTGGATAAAAGACCAAGGCCAACCCTATCGTATACCCCCAGAACACTTTGAATATACAGTACGTGTCACATGGGATCATTCTGTGATACTTTCATGTCTTTTTTAAAAAAAGCTTGATGCTGGTCATTATTCTCTGCCATTATATTGACGAGCCATATTTAAAAAAAAAATCAAAAATTCTCATTTTGTGGTTCATAAAACAAAGAAGGGCATACAGCATTAGAACAACACCAGGGTGAGTAAATTATGACTTAATTTTCATTTTAAGTTGAACTATCCCTTTAATAAGCCGTTTATATGACAGAATTCTGTACAAATTAATACAAGTATATTTCAGAAAAACAGAATATTAGCTTAATCAGGTTTTGATAGTATGGTCACTACATTTACATGACACATTCGGAATACAACCAAATTTCGATTTCAATTTAAAGCAGAGGATCTATGAAAGTCATGTGAGTTCCAGGAAATAATGCTGAAAAATAACCAAATATTTACTTAGCATTGATTGTTAAACTTACAGGACTTTAATAAAAACAAGAAATGCATCCCAATGCAGCATTTCAGTTATGATTTATGATAAAAAATACAACTTTCTTAAATCAGACAAACTAAGCACATCATTTGAGTTAGATTAATGCCTTTTTGAGTTGTATTGGCCTGTACTGGTTTTGTGGTTTATCCCCATTTGCACTTTTCCCAGCAGGCCCGGAGTGGCCATCAGGAGAATTCCCGGTGGGCGGCTCATAAATTGGACCAGCAGTGCCACTTAGAAATAAAGGCAGTTTTACACAGGACTCGGAAAGCGCAAGTGTCTATTTCTTTTTCAGTGAGAGAGCCATGGAAAGCGGCATTAAACTCCCGGGCTGAAAATGGGCCCTACTCCGGCCCTGCTTCCCAGCATGCACTGGGGCATGAATAATGAATATGGTTGCATTGTTTGACTGTATGCCACTTTTATCTACATTGTTATTGTTGATGATGATGTTACAAGTAGTAACTTGAGTTGTCTTGTGATGTCAGGATGAATTTGTTTCTCTTTTCCAATGATGGTTGGTTGTAACCCTTGTTGTGATTCATGTAGTGACATCCGCTTGTGGTGCATTTAAGGTATTATGTGTGTGTGTTTTTCTTCTTCTTGAGAGTGTTTATATGATGTAGCGGGTGACTGCATTGTAGACAGTAGACATGTATTATACAATATTGAATTACTTGTTAACAATTTAGATTAGGGAACACTATTCACTATTAGCTAGTTGCTTTTTAGCATGCATATTACTACCATATAGGTTGTTTACTAGTACTTTATAAAGCACATATTAACGCCTTATTCTGCATGACCATATTCTACACCCCTTAATCCTACTCCATATCTAAACATAACCACTACAGCAACTACCTTACTTGAATTGAATTGAATATTTTCACTATTCTACAATAACCATGCTATTTAATTATCAAAAATACACATATTTTACACATTCCTGGGATGTGAGCTCTTCTGATTTCAGGTGTCTCGAGTTTTAAAACCAGTCGACTGGATTTTTTACTGATTGGACATTTTCCTTGCTCGTGGCTTTTGAATTGAAAATAGATAGTATTTAAGCAGTGTAGCACTGACTCCGGGGCTTTCCTGAACATTCAGATTTTTGTAGCAGTGAACTTCTGCTAACCTCCTGACTCATGCTCTCTCTCTCTTCCATATTCAGGACACTGAGATTATCAACACGGCAGTTCTTACTGGCCGAACTGTGGCCATCCCTGTCAAGGTGGTTTCCATTGAGATAAACGGAGCAGTCACTGATGTGTCATCCTTTGTGCAGTGCAAGTCATTCAACGAGGACATCGTCAAGGTACGTCCCGCCCACGTTGAGAGGTTTTGTGAACTAGGATGTCGTCTACTATTCTCATAATCAATCGCGGACAGCTTAAGAGACCATAAAATGACCATCAAAACCTAATTTAAGCTGAGTTTATATATGCTCCTGTGGCCACTGCTTTTGTGATCCCCTAGAGGGATCGATGCCTTTTCAGTCTTAGACAGTACATCAAAAATGTTCAGTGCTCTACAGAACAACATCTCCCACCGAACAGCCGCAGACATCACACACTTGACCTGTGTTTAATGCTTTTAAATGAATAGTCTCCTAGAAAGCAGTGCACCAAAGCTATTTTTATTAAGGCAAGACACTGCAGACAAACCATTCCTTTTTTCAGCCACTGGATAATTTTGAGCTTTTAGGCTATTTTGCAGCCAAAACTTATCTTGAACAGACTACTGGAAAGACTACAATACAATACACATTTGAGTTTTTATTGTGTCTTTATCTATTTGCATCTGTAGATTTCAATTACAGTACATATCTTTACAGTCTTTTTCTCTTTCACGTGCACTGAGCAAGTAGCACTTGCATATCAAACCTTCCAGTTTTATTAGGTTTGTACAGAGGGGTTTGTTCATACAACAATATGGACATATTTTTGACAGTAGTGTATGACTTTTAGGGCCAGATTTACTAAACAGGTCAAATTAGCATGATTCTGACAGGATTGTTTTTAACATCAAAAGAGTAAATCTGGCCCTTAGAGTGATAAAAAACAAAACAAAGATAACATTATCCATTAGATTACAGTACAGTAGGTGGCCTTTGGGTCAAAAAGGTTTGAGAACTACTGCTTTAAATCCTCATAATCTGGTTCTTGGATTAAGTTCCGTCTCAATTCAAGCGCTAAGGTTGTGTGTTTGAGTCAATGAATGAATTTATTTCTCTTTATTTGCACAAGGGGGCAGTCGGTTCCACCTGAGGGCTTGTAAATACAGGACGAAAACATTTTGCAGTGTCCTTTGCTGAAGGAAACAATCATTTCAACAATATTCACCATCTGTTCCATAGCACGACAGAATCTGAAAGGAGAAATCCCATTCGACTATAAACCGTATCAAAAATGTAGCGAAATAATAATATGCCTCGGAGTGTCATCTGTCCGCCAAGATTGAGATCCATAAGTCATCCGAGAGGGGCCGTGAGGGCATCCGTTGTTTATCTGTTTTAAGATTCAGAATAGCCTTGTGTGCCGCAGTGCCTGGGCAGAGCATTAGCTCTGGTGTTATTGAGTGGGTTTGCTTTGGCCGCCCGGGCTATTGAACTTTGGAGGCTAATTCAAGATGAGCCCTTCAAGCTGAGACAACATGAGTCCTGACAGTTCAATAAAATGCTCTGTGCAGTGGCAAAAAAAGCGTCTTAAGAAGGCAAAGGTTACAGGGCCACTAACATCTTTTTAGCTTATCTTATTCAAAAGGTAGTCACGAGGATCTATTGTAACACGGCTTATTTGCCTAGAGCCAAAGCTTTTACTTCAGCACAGGGACACCAGAACAGATGGTTACATGTAGAGCTGTGAGAATGACGTTTTATGCCGCATGCATGGAAATGACTTTTAATATCATGTTTGCCGCAGGTTCTGTATACAGGCTGGTAATAAAATAAGACCAGTGAGGTGTATCTTTTGAAATTTGTGCACACATTTGGATGGTATAGTTACTACATTGCTCTGTGTGTTATATCTGTGTGTTGAATGATGAGACCCTGTGGGGCTTTGTGTTTTGGAGCAGGAATCTGTGAACAGTCTCTCCCAGCTGATCTCTCCTCTCAAAGCTCAGCTAGTCACACGAGGCATCTGAGAACACACGTTCCCATTCCGGGAATCCTCACTGCACACATTCCCAACACAGCAAACACGCACATTTAGACATGAATCACCACGTATAGATGAGTCACGCACCTTGATTCCGGTGCAATCACTGAATAATATGTATAATGTATAATAATAGCAAATGTCATGTGATTATCTTCGGCCTTTAAAGATGATGTATTTTGTTCTTTTAAATGTTAAAATACTTTCTCCTATCCCAGGTTAATTGTAAAGCATAAATATTATGAATTGGATAGTTTCGGTACTGATTGGTCGATACAGAATTTCTGTTGTACTACGAAATATGCAAAATAGTAACCACTCTGAGTCATGTTTATCAGATCATATGTAATATACATGGTGGAAGGATGGCACTTAATGTATTTACTGTATATAATAACATTTTTAAATCCTGGCTAAAACAGATAAGCTGATAATTATTAAAAATTAATTTTATTTTATATATGATAACTGATGATTTAGCTACAATAAAATATAATACTATTTTGACTAAAATAAACTAACACAGTCATTTAAGTGCTACGTAAGTGATATCTAAGTGAATTTTGATATCACAACATGTAGAGATTTGCAAGATTACATTTAACAGTGTTGTTAAACTATTAATATATATATATATATATATATATATTTATTTATTATTATTATACTTTAAGTGAGTGTTGACAGCAAAATAAATCTAAATGTAAAAAAAAAAATCCAATATAATGTCCAATATAATGGATTTATTTATAATTTTTATAATGGATCTTCTAATCATCCCTATATATATATATATATATATATATATATATATATATACTAATTGGTATATATATATATACTATACTAATAGATACTAATCATCCAGATGGATGCTGCACATTGGTAGTGGTTGAGGAGATTCCCTCTTCTATGTAAAGCGCTTTGAGTGACGAGAAAAGCGCTATATAAATGTAATGAATTATTATTATTAATATCGGTAATAACATTTTTGGTACAACTCACTTTTGCAGTGACTATATTCACAATATAGCTCGGCCTCTAGAATGTTATTCCATTAATTTAGCAGAGCTGGAGCGCTGAATTGACCAATCGGCATTCAGGACTGGAACTCTCTATTTTATACCAGTGTTTTAAATGCGAAACCATTCTGTTTCTGTAGAAGCTACCTGTCATATTAAATCAAATCACCAGTTTCTGCTTCAAGCTATCGGCAGTATGTTCGTCTTTAACAATGTAAAGTCGGCCTTCGCATGATACCATCAACACAGATAAAAGTGGATCTGCTTAACTGTGTGACGGCAGCCTGGATGGTGGAGGGTTACAGGAGGTGTTTGTTGGATTAAACACAGCTGGCGGGTGTGTGGAGCTGGAGGCCTCTCGATGGGTGGCACTATCCTGACCTCGCCCTTGCCACTCCTCCAGAACCACGCAAGGTGCCAGGGCAGATTAGTGACTCCGTGGGACTCTGACTGCTGGCTGGCACGTAAAAAGTACTTCCAGCCGGCCCCTGCTGGCTAGTGATGCCCACAGTCCTTAACTGCTTTTGACTTAAAAATTATCCATCCAAGTTTATTAGAAGCCCCAGGAGCAAGTGGGTCAAGACTGAGCTCACATCAACAGAAGTGGCACAGCAGGAACACATTCACGAGACTGTAGAGTGCAGTGGGAACCAGACAGGACATGAGCAACACTGCAAAACTACTGCTGCTTCTGTTGTGTGCCACCCACCCACGCTATTTGATAGTTACAATAGTGACTACTTTTATTGGGTGTTAATATTACTGTTAAACAATAGTTGAACCACAAATGAAAATTCTGTCATCAGTTTGTCACCCTCATGTCATTCACATTTATTCTCTCTTACAAGGAAATATTTTGAGAAATATCCAAGCTGTTTGAAGGTGTGATGTGTGTAATTTTCTCTAGCAGTGCCAAATGGCATTTCAAATATAATGACTTACCTGAACACTCCCCCCGGCCCCTATACACCATTGGTCAACAGAACACATTGTACAGCCCTGAACTTTTGCCATTGGTTGAGCTAACATTGTGTAGTCTGGCTGATGGGATGCAAACAGGGGTGCGTTTCCCGAAAGCATCGTTAGCCAACTATGGTCGCAAGTTCAGTCGTTATCAGCATAGTTCAACGAGTCGATGTTTCCCGAAACCATCGTTCCAACGAACATTCGCAAACAGCATCGCAAAGTTGTGTGGTTGGAACGACAGTTCTCGAGCTGTGGTAAGAAGCATAGTTTCTAGATTACATGACATGTGGACTTAATAAATCCTTATCTTGAGGAAAATAAGCAAGCTGACATTCAGCACAACCTGTGTCTTTTATTTAGAATACATACAAATGTAATTTACGTCTTTAAGTTTGTTTTAAAGCACCGTTTTTGAAGACTGCGCATGTGCGAATGTGCTCAACTATGTAAGAACGAGCTGATTGAATCTGGAAATAAAGCGAAATAACTGAGAAAAATGAGAAATAGTCTTCAGATGCCATGTCTGTAATTTATATCAAAATATCTAGCATTAATTCGATCTCAAATAGTTTCATTAAAATAAGTTATTACTCCACCACGTGCGTGACGTCATAAACCAACGTGATTGAACGACCACTTTGCGACAATATGGTTTCGGGAAACAGTCGTGACTAGCTAGTTGATTTCTTCAACGATGCATCGTACTATGGCAGTTAAGCAGCGAGTTACGTCGTTGTACGGGAAACTCACCCCAGAGCAATATTCTGATACCGCCACATAGTGTTTTTGACTTAAAGGGATAGTTCACCACAAAATTAAAATTCTGTCATCATTTACTCACCACCCGGAAACTCACCAAATTACTTGTTCCAAACCTATATGAATTTCTTTCTTCTTCTGAACAAAAAAAATAAGATATTTTAAAAAAAATGCCGGTAAGGACCCCATTGACTTCCATAATATATATATATTTTTCATACTATGGAAGTCAATGGGGCCCATCAATTGTTTGGTTACCCATATTCTTCAAAATATCTTCTTTTGTGCTTAACAGAAGAAAAAAATTCATATAGGTTTGGAACAACTTGAGGGTGAGTAAATGATGACAGGATTTTCATTTTTGGGTGAACTGTCCCTTTAGAATAGTCTCAAAATAGATTTTACCAGCATTTTATTGATAAGAATTGAGTTTAGGTATGAATGATCTTGGTGGAATGGTTGCTGCAAGGTAAGGTAAGGAGAACCCCATAGCAGATCTAGACAGTGGTGCTGGGGAGGAGGAAGGCTAAAGAAAATGATCTAGCACACTGTACTCAGCTGGAGCAGTCTGGGATGGGAACAAATAAGGTTGTGTAGCTAAGAAAAAGAAATTGATTGGCTGTGCAGCTGGCTTGAAAGAATACATAAAGCTACTTGGACCCCTAAAATAAGGGGTCTTAAAAGTATGACTTTTTTTTTTTTTTTTGACTATCAAAACTTTACTAGTGAGATTTCTCTCATCTAGATTTAGGCCAAGCAAGGAAATGTTTCATTTGCACATGAAACGCGCTCTCTGTACCTCCTGTGCTGTTATCCTCTCTGCTCTTTCACCATATGCCAGGTTTTTTTTTTTACAGCAGTATTATTCATAGTTTTTCTCAATAAATAACAGTCCCTTTAAAAAAGAAATGAAGTAGGCAAGCAGAGATTCCCCGCAGGTTCTCCTAAAGGCTACTGGGGAGAGAGACATCTCCTCTGATCAATTCCCCGTATTGATGGTATGGATAAGAGAGGGAGCTGTCTAGCAGTCCTACATATTTTATTACACAGATATCCCCCACTATGATGAATCTCCAGTCTTGGATGGACTGCAGCTCCCGACCTCCATTTGAGGGAGATTAGGTTCTGATTACAGTGTCAGCTGCCTTAGACCCCTAGATAAATCATAGATGGAACCCCAAAGCAAAGCTTCAGCTATCTATTACAGTAAATAATTTATTATTAAAGACTGCTGACTGTACATATGAAATGTGTTGGCAGACCAGAAGGAATAACAGGGGGGAGGGTTACCAACTTTTCTTTGGTAAACCTTTGGGAGCTTTAATGAAATTTCCACAACTTGGAGATTTAAAAATGTGTGTGTAGTGTGTTCATTGATGTGTCTGTTTGTGTGCTCAGAAAAAAAAAAGAATGCAGTGAATAACAACTGCTGCTTCAAAAAAACAAAAACAATGCCTCAGGAAAAAAGCTGTCAGACCCAATTCCTATGGGGTGTTATTTTAGGAAACATGTTTCAAGTAAAAAGACTTCAATTTAAAAATACTTTTGAATGGATTATTTTCATGGTTTACTTGATGGTTTTCAAAGTGACTCAGAATGACACTTTAACCCTTTCTGGTGCTAATTGATTTAAAAGAACATTAATTTGAAACTACGCCTGTCATTTAATTTAATGTGTTATTTAGCTAGTACAATTATTATATTTAAAAGAATGTGATACATGTGGTAAAAAAAAAAAAAAATCATGCATTTAACACCTTACCCATACAAAACTGCAGGCTACTTGGCATGGCAAACCATACTTACAGAATAGTGGGGAGCTGTTCACATAGGATGCATTCTTGGTTCAAAAACAGCTGAAAGTAGCACAATGCAGTGGTTGCTCATGATGTGAGATGCTAAAAAAATGCCTTTTCGGTCCCCATCTGAGCGTGAAGCATTGCTGTGTAGACTATCGGGTAGTCTGCTGTGGAGTCGGCATCATTTTGAGGGGATTTCATAGCAAATATTGATATGTGATTCATTTCGATTTATTCAAATATGTGTTTTTAATTCACAGGCCTATTACAGACCGGCATCCTTGCAGTTGCCCGTGAAGAGCTTTTGTTTTGTGCAGACTCTCCAGAGGATGCGGTGAAAGCAATCAAACCTCTCTTTGCTCTCCTCAACAGGTGTCCATGAACTGTGACTATGTGTTTGTGAATGGAAAAGAGACGCGTGGCTCCATGAACGCTCGGGTGATTTTCAGCTATGAGCACCTGAGTGCCCCTCTTGAGCTCACTGTCTGGGTGCCCAAACTGCCCCTTAAAGTGGAGCTCTCAGACAACAGACTGAGCTTCATCAAGGGCTGGAGGGTGCCAATCTTACCCGACCGCAGGTAAGACACCACCATATCTGTGCTCTCAAATATTCTTGAACTCTGAATGAGTGTTTGTAAGCAATAAGGGACCGTTTGGTATTTATGGAATGGACCCCACGGAGGAAAATAGGGGAGGGTCATGTCTTTTTATTCTTTGTTGAGGGGAGGGTCATCCAACTTTTTTTAGTCTGGGGGGAGGGTCACCCAACTTTTGTATTCATGAAAACAGCTAAATTTAAAAGTAACGTTTGTTTGGTGCATATTTTTCCACGTAGCTTTCTCAGTCTCGGCCCCCCATCGCTAGCAGATGCGTCTGACCCAACAAAACCGGGGTGCGGTGATAACGCTTTCATGTAACATGTAAGGGTGGCGCTGCCAATAAAGCACCTAAAAGCTGTCACAAAGAACCTGCAAAAGTAATGATTAGGAATATGTCAAATATAGCAAGGAGACATTTTAATTGTTTATTAATGAACAAGTGTTTTCTGTGTCAGTGTCGGCTGCAAAGGTGAAGTTGACGATGCTGATTCGCGATCTTCGCAGTAGTGAACGCGCCAGAGAGAAATGCACATTTCATACGGATTAGGCTACATAAGCAGAGAGCAGTGTGTTTTCATTCGATTTTAATTAAATCCGTTATTTATTAAATCCAGTCAGTCAGTAGACTAGAGAAGACATTTTTATATTGAAAGGACTGAAACTTGGAAAAACAAGACGCAACTGACAAATGACTAGTGTGTCAGGGCAAGGGAAAACCCCTTAACTGTTAAGAGGACAAGATAACGCAGCGGACATTCAAACGTTTATTTTATTATTACGAATATAGGACTGACCTGAAGGAAAATGCTATGTCTAATGTAAATGCAGGTACACTCGCTTACTCAATCTCTCACAATACTCTAACGTTACTCTATAAGCTTCAGAACATATGTTTACGTTGCTAAGAGTGGTTGCTAGGAGTGTTGTGGAGTGATACATAGAACCGTTGGGTGAGGCGGTCAAAGCCGTGTTTTATCGTGAATAAAAAACAGCTATTGACCAATCTGGAACTAACCGTTTTATAAATGCATATTAATTTCCCCAGTATAGCACCTTTAATGCATGTTTTCTTTTATTTTGCTGCTTGTTTATTTACACGTAATACTTGTAGGCGATGTGAGGGTGATAAAGCGGTGTAATATTTTAATTAGTGTAGTTGTTAAAAGCTTTAACTCTAGGTCACTAAGGGCTGTGTTAGTTACAATGCGACCATGGAGCTGATGCCGCATGAGACCCGAATGTCATTCTTCATACAGCCCATTTACTGTGATTTTGACAAATTGAAGCTGGGGTGTTGTCGCACAGTGCAACGGCAGAATATCAGCACAGGCATTTTTCATGAGGAACCTCTCCAGAATTAATCATGATGGAAAACATTCTGGTAACTCACTGGTATCATTATTGCTCCCTTACAGAGGCCTTTCTTTTGTGATGTAAATCTCTAATTAAATTCATTCAAATGGGCCATTAAAATGGAAATATGATCTGATTTGGTTATGCTAATCCTGTTTGGGTGCAAATCGTCAATCTAGATCTAGCCTTCATGTAGGGCTGGCGGTATGACGCATGTACCATGCAAAGGTAGAAATAAGTCATCTATTACAAATCCAGCTTTAGAGATTTAGCTTTGATATCTTAAATAACATTGGAACATTTAAAAACATCATACAGTATATAGCTGCTAGAAAATCTAGATAGTGTATTGCGGTTCACTGTTATCAAGCAGTTGTAAGCAAAGTCTATCAGTGCAGTTATTCTTTCAGTATTTTACCCGTTTCATACGGACAATTCGCACACAATACAAGCGTGTCATTTCATTTGCATTTGACCTCAATTTGAGTGCCTTTGATTTAGCTTCCTCCCAGGACCTGAGATCTCTAAGGCTTTGTTCACACATACAATCTCTGTGTGATCGGCTTGAATTCTGATTTGTTTTTCAGATGCAATCTTTATCCCGGTGCTTGCACTGTCATTTTGCAAGTGAAGAGATCTGATCTATTGAATTTATATGGTTCCTATAGTAATGACTTAAAAGTCAGCATGGCACCAAAAGACATACGAGAGTAGCTGTCACCATGGAAGGAAAGAGATCACAAAACGTAACATTTTGTCTCTGCTGATATTCTTGACATCTTGTCACAGTGCTGAGCTATGGGGCATAAAACCCAGCCATGGCAGCAGCTAATCCTGATTAATCTCATGATTTCTTTCAGTTCCTTTTTAAATAGAATATTTTAAAAAGAAATTTAAAAAATAATAATAATGTGTGTAATCTCTGCAAGCTTATGAATTTGTGTGGATGACACTAATAGCAGAACACAGTCGGGTTTTTTTGGGGGGTTTTTTACCTACAAAATCAGTTGTTTTTAAGAGACCCTAATAAGATTCACGTTGACAAGTCCAACTTCACTTATGTATTGCTGCATAAAATCGCTTATCAAACAAGGTTGTTGATTGGATTTGAAAGTGTGTGTGTGTGTGTAGTACAGTGCAAAAGTCCTAGGCACATTAGTACTTTAATTAGTCTGACAGTTTATATAGTTTGTTACCATTAAAAAAAAACTGTTTTCTGTTTTAATATATTTTGTCATTTAATATGAATGTCATTTATTTCTGTGACCAGTCTTCAGTGTCAATGATAGATGCTAAAGGAAAAAAAAATCTTATTATCAATGTTAAAAATAGTTTAATATTTTTGTGCATTTATTTGAAATAGAAATCTTTTGCAACATTATAAATGTCTTTATTCTCTATTGATCAATTCAATGTATCCTTTCTGAATTCATTTCTTTAAAAAAAAAAAATCTCACTGACCCCAAACTTGTGAACGTTATGACTGATGCATCATTCACAATAAGATTAGAAACAGACATTAAGAGGATACATTCAGTTAGTTTTGATATCATGCGGAAGCATCAAAGGCATTTCTGCACTGCTTACACATTCATGCATATTCTGTGCAAAAACCCACTCGTTCGTTTACTTATTCACCATTTAATACATAGTGAATTTCACATGTAAGCGTAAATGAGTGATTTCAGGCACAGCGGTAACACTACTGTTTTGTGTAGGCCATCAAATACATGGTACATCCCAAATTAAATTTTATATTATGATTATTATTTTAATCTGATCTAACCTGACACTTATTTTATAGATTTTTGTTTTTATTAAACAATTAACTGGATTTGGATTCCTTATTTTCTTTCCCTCTTCCTTTCTTTCATTTCCTCCCTCCTCTGCTCTGTCCATTTCATTCCACTACATTGCTCAATGTTAAGACGTGTCAGTGGGCAGGTTTCTCGCATTGGCCTTCCACACCAATTGATTAATGTAGCTCACTAAACTGGTGAAACAGTGATGTGTCTGCAAAAACTGACACTCATCTTTATTGGATGAGCAAGTTTCCGCGCATGAAATCTCCGGTTCTCTTAACAGCCTAATGAGTTCAAGAAAGGCTCTGCTCTTGAGGTGTGTTCTTCTGGTCTGAAACTCGCATTAACCTGTGTGAGGAAACAAGAGAGTACAACTGTCCTCAAGAACACAGAGCTTCTGTCTGCCGGGTTCTTCAACTGATGCAAGAGCCTCTTGTTTTTCCCCTCCATGGAAACAGGAGCGTGTGTTTAGCTCAGAAGAGAGCAAAGTGCTGATCAACAACTGCTTTCCACTATTATAAGTCTTCTACTTCTGTGTTTGTGTGCCTGTTAATCTCTCTTTATTGCTGAGAAGTAACTGTGTCTCCTTGCATGATAACGCAATGCTTTACATTCAGTTTAGTTTAGGCTTATCGATGGGCATGTGTTGTCAGTCACATGTGTTGTCTGACAGCTGTCTCTACATCTCCAGTTATCTGATTAATTAGTTATGTGTGTAGAATGAGTGAATCTCTCAAGATCCACCCAGCCCTTACCCTGCTTCCTCTCGCTTTCTTCACATGGTGACACGCTGCCAAGGGAGCAGATTAGATAGATTGAATGTGAATGTGTGAGGCATGTAAGAGTCACTGATGCGAAAACTCTATGAAACAGGTCTCCAGATGATGCACTTTTTCATACTGTTATGCAGTTCTAACAAACATTTTTGGAGGGAATTCATGATGGAGCGTTGTTTATATGCACACATTAACTATTTTAACACCCAATGCACTTAAGAAATGCGAATTAATTAGGTAATGGCACAAGCATGCCAAAAAATCTGTGCTGAACGCAATTTACTCATCACAGATTTAGAAGCGGGTACTGTACACTTCAGTAACATTCACTATATAGAAAGTGCGGCCATCTGTGCAATGAGTCTAGATGCATTATTCAGCGCTGTGAATTATTCAGTCTTATATGCTTTTGTGCATCATTTCAGATCATTGGATGAATAACTGTTGCTATAGCTCTATAGAAAATGTACACCAACACCTCCCTTTAAATATATATATATATATTGGATTGGATATATGTATGTATAGACTCACCTAAAGGATTATTAGGAACACCTGTTCAATTTCTCATTAATGCAATTATCTAATCAACCAATCACATGGCAGTTGCTTCAATGCATTTAGGGGTGTGGTCCTGGTCAAGACAATCTCCTGAACTCCAAACTGAATGTCAGAATGGGAAAGGAAGGTGATTTAAGCAATTTTGAGCGTGGCATGGTTGTTGGTGCCAGACGGGCCGGTCTGAGTATTTCACAATCTGCTCAGTTACTGGGATTTTCACGCACAACCATTTCTAGGGTTTACAAAGAATGGTGTGAAAAGGGAAAAACATCCAGTATGCGGCAGTCCTGTGGGCGAAAATGCCTTGTTGATGCTAGAGGTCAGAGGAGAATGGGCCGACTGATTCAAGCTGATAGAAGAGCAACTTTGACTGAAATAACCACTCGTTACAACCGAGGTATGCAGCAAAGCATTTGTGAAGCCACAACACGCACAACCTTGAGGCGGATGGGCTACAACAGCAGAAGACCCCACCGGGTACCACTCATCTCCACTACGAATAAGAAAAAGAGGCTACAATTTGCAAGAGCTCACCAAAATTGGACAGTTGAAGACTGTAAAAATGTTGCCTGGTCTGATGAGTCTCGATTTCTGTTGAGACATTCAGATGGTAGAGTCAGAATTTGGCGTAAACAGAATGAGAACATGGATACATCATGCCTTGTTACCACTGTGCAGGCTGGTGGTCGTGGTGTAATGGTGTGGGGATGTTTTCTTGGCACACTTTAGGCCCCTTAGTGCCAATTGGGCATCGTTTAAATGCCACGGCCTACCTGAGCATTGTTTCTGACCATGTCCATCCCTTTATGGCCACCCCTAAATGCATTGAAGCAACTGCCATGTGATTGGTTGATTAGATTGAAATTGAACAGGTGTTCCTAATAATCCTTTAGGTGAGTGTATATATATATATATATACAGTAGTCAACATTTGAAATGGATCAAAAAGTTAATCAAAGTTGTCCTAAGACAAGAACGGGTATTGTTCAAAATTCATGTATAGAGGGTATGCGCATGACGTCACCGTCAGCCGGAGTGAATGCAGTCACGCCCACAAGTGGCAAAAAGACTGAGCGGCAGCATTTGTTTTCAGCGTGAATGCCGTGAAAAACACACAAAACACATCTAAAACGGGAAAGAGCTTTGCGATTGACTGTACAACTATATTTGACCAGAAATCTGAGGTACTGTATATTTTTACAGACTGCAAAAAGCTACAGAACAGACTATGTTCTGCATAATTGGATGTTTTTAAATAAACACTGACAAAAAACTATACGAGTTTTAGGGCTGGACGATATTGATATACAGTATAACATTAATGTAAGTGATCACTCGGATTTAGACCTATCTATATTGGATTTATATAAAACGTTTACAGGCAAATTTTCTTAATTTATTTCCCCGGAGTCGAAATCAGGCACATATAAATGTCAGGAAACACGATTCCTGGCTGCATGTCAATATCCATGGATCACTGGATCTTTGATAAGTTGTAAGGAACACTATATCGAGTCCAACTTTTAGTTTAAACTGATAATAGTTTGTTTTACTCGCGTTTTCGCAGTTTCCCCTATTAACTCCAGTCACGCAGCAGCTCTTTTGCCACTCAGTCCGGCTGAGGGGGGCGTGGTCCGGCGGGAAAGTGACGTTAATGCATTCCCTCTATAACTTTGATGAAAGGTTTTGATCCACTTCAAATGTTGACTACTGTATATTGAATGGATGGATGGATGGATGGAGTGAGAGACGAAAAGTCACACTGACATGCATATGAATGGCACATATATTCTGGTGTGAATTTCTTATCTAACTCACTATGAATGACCTCTCCCTCATCTCCTCAGAACGGCCAGAGACAGCGATGACGATGATGATGATGACCGTAAAGTGAGCCGTGGATGTACGCTTCAGTACCAGAGGGCCCAGGTTAAGGTTCTGACCCAGTTCCACACTACTTCTACTGAAGGCACAAACCAGATGATCACTATGCTGGGTCCTGACTGGCAAGTGGATGTGACTGAGCTGGTGCAAGACTCTCTGAAGGTGGTGGACGCCAGGGTGGCTGAGCTGGTGGACAGGACGGTGCTTGTGGCCAATGAGCTTGGATCATCCACTCTGAAGGTAGAATACAAATAAGAATGGACCTTATAAATTCAGGATTGATGGAATAATGGGGGGAGAGGTGAATGGAGCTCTCAGTACCATATTACAATGCAGCCAATTTAATTTAGCTGTATTACATTCTCTTCATCCAACATTATTGGACACTGGTCCTTACTCATTGTTTTTATACCTGTCAAGACATGATGCAAAGTGTCTAAGGGACAATCCCTTATACTGTCTCATATATCCAAGTAAAAAAACTTAACTTTCACTCTCTTCCCTGATGTTATGTTTTAGACACTGGTATGGTGGTCTAATTTTTTTTCTTTTTTCTTTTTTTTTTTTTATCAGCTAGTATAATAAAATCAAAGCAAAGTATACATAAAATAAAATAGGCCACCCTGCCAGTGTTATAACATGTCAAAACATAAAGTTTGTACTTGGAATTATGAGAAATTGTTTTGTTTTCTCATCCTTTCTCTTTTCTTTTGTTACAACAATTGTTCATAGTCCAAAGTCAACCTGATAATTAATTAAGTGTTTTTAAACAGACAGATTGCTAAGAATATAAATGTAGTTTATTGATAAAATCAATAGGGGTCCTAAATCAATATTTCAAATTCTCATATTTAATTTATCTAGGTTAGCTCTGCTGCTGTCTTTGTCTTTTAATGCCCCGTTAGAAAGCTATTCATATGCATATTTAGTCCCAGTAGGCTATTCAGAAACGGGGATGTTTGGGAAGAGCATTATCAGTGCTTTATAAAAACTTCAATAATGTCAAATTGGGGGAATCATTCTTGAAAGTGAAGTTTTCTCTCCATTGAATCAGAACACAATCAGTTCATTGTGTCCAAACAGAGTGAGATTTGATTGTTCGTGACAGCTTCATCACACCTCTCCACAGTGCTGTCTGTTGTTTGGCTTACAAAAAACTGTCTGTTTTTGCCCATAAACAAATTTGAGCATAAAAGAAAAAGTTTGCTAATTTAACTAGGGAAAACTGCAAGGCCATTAATAATTAATGGCCAATGCAGATTTCGAATGTTTTTGCTGAATGCAAGCTGAAAATAAACGAGTCTGAGCACTGAAGCATCATTTCACCCTTCCAAATACGAAAGAAAAAGAAACAAGGGAAAGGTATGAATAATGTTGTTTATTAGTCGACCACACCAGGGTTTTTTAGCTCATTTGGTGGGTCTTTGATCTTTCTCTGCCAGAGCGCTCATCCTCAACCCGTCACTTTGGCCCGAACACAAAGACGCTCCGCCGTTAAGCTTTGAACGTCTCCCGTGACACATTGTTTTGATAATCTTATGAACAGCAGAAGGTATTGCTGACCCCTTCTCAGCATCGACTGAGCTGTAATGGTCCTGGGAATCCATCTACAGTAGCATTAAGTGTACAATACTTACCCTCTGAGCCTAATTCTTTGTATTTCCTATGACTTAATTGGCTCGCCAGGTCTATCAAGTACAGTAATTAGGTTTTGGGGGAATAGGCAGTCCCTTTTTAGCCTTTGAGCACACTCTATTCATGCATGCAAAGCTCTGGTTATAATGCAAACATCAAAAGAAGGTATATCAGCAAGTATAATAAAACTAATTGGAACCGCCTGGATACCAAACAAACTTGCCATTCTGGCAAGAATTTGTTTTTAGTTCCCCTTTTTCTATCTGCCGTTTCTCTCCTTCAAATGCGCTGTATCTTTGAAGCTTGCCTTGAACTCGGGAAATAAAAAATGCAGGAACAAAACAGTTTAGTTCAATTATACATTCATCTGCTTTCCCCCCCAAGGTCTACATCTCTTTTCCAACCAGAGGAAGGGAGAGAGGATTGTATAGGAGTGGATGGTCAATGAACTGTAACAGCCTTCTCCAAAACATTAGTGCATTGGGACACAAACAGTGTGCATCTGGGACATATGGGTCGCAAGTCTAGGCTGGATCAGGAAAAGCCTGGGTTGAGCTTTCGCATGCCAAGACAGCATCATGTTCTTCAGCGAGAGATGAGGCTTAAAAATGGCTTTTCTATGCCAAAAGATGGTTGAGCATTGCCACTCACAGACCAAGTTTAATCAGCAGCATGGCTAGTTCATAAACCTACATCAGCGTTGAGGGCTTTTAGCTGGAGATGGGTAATTTTGAAGAGGGAAGTAATAGCAGCTTGGAAATGAAAATATTTGCTCTAGAGGTTGGAGATTTTTGAACACCATTACCAGACATTATGGACTTTATTGAGCTAAATTATCAAGAGCAAAATTTGCTTTGCTCCCTCGTGTGTGGATAAGTGTAACCAGCTCTGACTCAGCTGTGATTAAGACAATAATAAGAAGGTTATATTATTGTTCTTTATTCAGTATAGTTGTAATTGAAAAGATAAGACAATGAGCTCACTTTGCAAATGTCATTTTGACATTTCCACACGGTGTAAAAGGATCTGTCAACATCTTTAAGTGTTCTTCACTAGTCATAATTCCGTTTGTCATTGAGAGACTGAAGTGTAGGCTGCTGGCAACGATTCAGTTCCTTTTAAAATTCATCCAATCTCTATGTACTTCTCCCTCTTATTGTGTCTTTCTCGAGGCAAAAACGCTCCATGTAGGCTGCCTTGTTCTTGTCTTGCAAAATGTGAGTTTAAGTTAATCTTTCTGAATTATGAAAAGAGAAAAACTATCCCTATATTGAGGCTCATGTTATCTAACGCTCTGTGTGGCTCTTGGGATTCCCAGGGCCTCGTGGTTCAGCAAAGACACCCAGGAAATAAAATGAGATTCTCTGACCCTCCTAGTTGTTCCGCCCCACTTGACTTTTCACTCGGTAAGTCCCTGGTGACCTTTAACGCTGGTAGGAGGTGAAGAAACGGTGACATAATGGGTTTGAAGTGTCAGGATTTATGTGGAGGCCGAGTGCTAGCCGTCCTCTGGAGAAAAGAAGCATTTTCCCATGCTTCCTTTACTCAGTGGGCTGCATCTTGAATATGTGGGATTACTCACTAAATGTTTCTGTTTGACAGGCATTGTAATTTCACTCCTCCCCATTCTTTCTTCCATTTAGACTGTCTTTACTCCTCCATTGTCTTTCGGTGTGTGAAAGCTCATCTTGTTTTGTTGATTTCAGGTTGAATCCCCACTGGCAGTGGAGGCGGTACTGGGTGAAACGCAGTTTTTTGTGGTAGACGAGAAAGTGTCCATTGCGGAGCTTCGTGTTCATGCCATCTCGGGACTGGCACTTAATCTTCAACCAAGCCCTGGCAACAGCCATACCATGGTTGCCAAGGCAACTGGCCTGCAGACACTCTCCACTCTTAAGCAGGTATAGTTGATCCCTTCATTGTTTTTCACACCTTCTAGAATAAATGACATCTCGTCTTGACAGTATATTGTTACATTTTAAACAAAATACTTTTTTTTTTTTATGTGCAGTATATTAGATTTGTTGCTGGTCCATGCCAAGGTATCATTAACTAAAAAAAAAAAAATACTTGAAATAACATACCAACAGTAAACATCAACTGAAATTGAATAAAATATACAAATCTTAGGCTTATGAAAACGCTGTGTTGAAAACCCTGTTACACCTTTGGTGTTCCCGGTCAAAAATGACCGGCCTTTTAAAAAATGTCCTGTAAATCTCTCATTATGCTATATTATCTCCAAATATTGGATTCAATCTTTTGGTCAACTTGTTTTATTCCAATAAAGACAGGATTTCTGCATTTCTTTTTGGAACTGATTGATCGTAGGCCTCATTACAGCTTATGCACCTCAGTTTTTTGAGTGAAAAAAAGCATTATTTGTGAATAATCTTGTCATTATTCAACAAAAAGATTTACACTGTTTATCACACTAGTGTGCTTTAATGTTTAACCAGGAAGTTTGTTTCAAAATGCTTTTATTTTGTAAAAAAAAATGGAACAAAGTCACACTTGTTGTATTCCTGGTCAAAAATGGCCGGCCTATAAAAAAAAAGTTTATAAATCCATTGTTATGCTATATTATTACCAAATATTGGATTCAATCTTTTTGTCAACTTGTTTTCTTTCAATTAGGACATGTTTTGTATTTATTTTTTAAACTGGTTGATTGTAGAACTCTTCTATTGATTGTAGAATTTCTAGGCTGGTAATTTTTGACCGGGAAAGAAATCACCCAAAAAGTACAAAAATGATCCCCCAAAAATTTGGAAAGTAGTTACAACCTGTGTAAGCAAAATCAGTAAGTAGTCCAATGCGATAACATTAACTAGCACTTTCAGGAAAAAGAAAATCCTCTCCTGGTCAAAAGGACCTGAACACAACATAAGGGTTAAGCTAGTGTTGCCAAAGCTACATTTCTCATTGTCTAAAACTAATAAATAAAAATGTATAAATACTGATTTTTCTTTTTAAAAATGAATAAAAAGGACAAAAACGCACAACAAAATTGCTAAAACATGAACTAAATTTAAAGAGAAAACTAAATATAAACACAAAATCTAATTCTAAGTATTACAAAAAAAACTATAATAGTATATCAATCATACTAAAATAACACTGTACCAAGCTCTAATAAACTTGTTCAAGATGGTCTACCAACTCATTCTGGCCTCCATTTTCAGCTAGTCAACGCATAAACCATCTTATGAGTAGACTAAACCAGCTACAGACCACGTGAAACCATCCGAAGTGCATATTTTAGTTGAATTGTCATGGTATAATCTACTGTATGTGAATTTGTGTGAAATACAACATGTCTTATAATTGACATTCTTAGGCCCTGAATGAAGGTGCAGTGTCAAGTCATATATTGTGTAACTAATATGATCACACTTGTTTAGGGGCAAGAAACACACTGAAGAATCTTAGTTAATTTATACACAAAATACAAACTTGTATCTTTGTGTAATTGTCTAAATATGACAGTATAATTTGTCATCATATACCCCTCTGCAGCTGAGTCCATGGAAAAGCTCTAACCTTTGGCCTCCTGCAACTAATTATGCAAGTGACATTTCTGTGAAATTCCTCAGGATTATTCTGCTCCTCGAGAGTTAACACTGGCTGGACTTAGCCTCATATTGATGAATCCAGTCTCCATGAAGGTTATACACCATTGGCAAATTAGCCTCAGCACGGCCCTCACTACTTTAATAAAGGCTAGTTTGGCATTCAGACATATTCAAATCTCCTTTAATATCAGCACACCAAATGAGAAAGGATCTCGCTTATTAAGAAGCCACCGCCACCTCTGTTCTCTGGCGTTCTCGAGTGTCATCAGGGGAGCTCCATGCGTTTGCTGTATAATCTTTCTCAAAGCATTAATTGGAGCGCATTCACTCGTATTTTCAAGTGAAGACCTTGGATGCTGCCGGGCTAATTTATACGATGTCTTGGGCAGGTCACGGAGCCCTGCCGCGAGAGCTCGGGGCCTTTTTTTCCTGCTCTGTACTTAGCCTGTGACCAACATCAGACGAGGGTGGCTGCTTTCAGTCGACGCATTCAAATCCAGCGGTTCTCCCCCGCTCTGTGCTTCGCCACCTTTGGTTTTAATTAGCGTAATGTATCAGCCTAAGTGCTTGTGGAGACTGTGCAATAAACATCACTGATGACCCTCCTCCTCCTCCACTACTACCAGTCCATCATTTCAATCCTTCTGTGCACTTGCCTACTTCACCTCTGCAGTCACAAAATAACAGCCCTCAGTTTCTGCCCTCAGTTTTTTATTGATTGATTTTCTGGTAACACTTTACAATGAGGTTCAATTTGTTGGGATTAGTCAATGCATTAGGCATCATGAACATTGGACAATAATTTTTTACAGCATATATTAGTCTGTTAAAAGGCATTAATATAATCTAATAATTTATTAAAAGATCATTATAATTTCTATATATGCATTCATTTTTATAGAATAAATTACCATTAATGTATGAACGAACATGAATTAACAGTGAACAAAAGTGAATTTATGAAATAACTTTAAAACTTTTTAACCTAGTCTTGGAGTTAATTAGTACATCTACTTTTATTTGCTGTTACTTCATGTTTGTTGACAATACATTAACTATTATTCATTTCTACAAACTTGAAATGTCATAACGTATCATTGGCACTATTCGGACGGTATATGTTTCTCACGTGGACGTCCGTAAAATAAACTTGGATTGGCGATTTATTCATGGTTGCCACGTTTTGGTTTTGTTTCATGTTCTTGTTTCATGTCTGTCATGTGGTTCCCTGTTATAGTCATGCGATCCTGTCATGTGTTCCCTTGTCTTATGTGTCATGTTCTGATTGGTTCATTGTTCACAGGTGTCCCTATTTATGCCCTCATGTTGGCCACGTGTCCTTGTCAAGTATTGTTACCTGTAACCACTGTTGTGAAGTTTATGTCAATGTTTATGTTCACGTTCAAGTCTTGAGTTTCATGCCACGCCATGCTTTTGTTTTATGTTTGATCTTGTTTGTATATAATTAAACTGCACTTGGGTTCTGCAAGCTCGCCTCCAGTGGAATCATTACAATGCTGGAGGAGCGAGTTTTGTCATCCTACGAACCCTGGAACGCGTGGTCAGTCGCATAATTGTCTTATGTAAATAACATTAAAAACATAATAAATTCTATTTTAATTTAATTTAATAATAGGAAAATAATATCCTATTTATTATTTGATTATTTAAATTTCCTGTTTTAAAATAGGAAGATGGATGCATCATAGTTAAAATGGTTTTCTGTCTTGTATTTTATCTCAAAATTATGTATTGCATTTTAAAAATGTGGAAATAAGTTCATACAGCCGGTTATTTGCATGAGATACATATTTTAACGTATGTAATTACTGCCCATTTCTGATGTTTACGTGCTTTTCTTCTCTTTCTCTTTTGAGAGGTGATGAAATATTGTTCTTGTAAATACTTTCTAGCACTTGAGTGATAAAAGTATAGGCTAGATCTTTAAAATGCATCCAAATTACAGCGAAACGCAACCGTTATCGTACCGTACTCAGCAGTGGTCCAAAGATTAAACAGTGAATTTTTTTCTTGTAAACTCAGTGATGTGGATTCAGACAGCTATTAATTTACCACACAAGCTTGGTGTTTGTGGAAAAAAACAGTAGGTTTTTCGGCCGGGGATTTTTACGCGGGGAGTGGGAGAAAAACACTGACATTCTGAATTCGGATGGCAATAAACTAAAGTAACTAATGTTAACGATTTGAAGCGTGTTGTGTAAAGTGTTACTGATTTTCTTTCTCTTTCTTTTACACTTTAGATGCCCCTTTCTTTTGTCTAACTGGCAGCCTTAAATAATTGATTTTGCTGTATGCTGGTGTAAGCGATTATTCCGTTTTAAAGTGTGTCTTGGGTGTAAGAACACTTTACTTTTATAGTTTGTTGCGTACAGTGAATTCAAACTTACTTTCAAGATAGAGCTCAAAACCTTTAGCAGTTAGAAATGTAATGACTTATCTATGTAAAAGTTACAGTGTCATGTCTCAAAAACTGAAGCTTGTAGAAGAATCAAGGACCATGTGTGATTGATGTCATTTTATTTAGTGGCTAGAGTGATCTCAAAAGGTCCACGAGGACATCATGTCATCCTCAATGTATTATTCAGATCATGCATATCAAAGACTCTCTTCATCTTGACAAGCAGTGTTGACAGAGCCTGAGCTCGAATGTCAGAACAACCTTGAAGTTAGTGACGCGACAGAAGAGATTTTTTTACAGCCTCACAACAGGCCGTTGCTGAGGCAGATAAATACTTCTCTTCCTGAATATAAAAGCAAAGCAACACTTCATTTCTGACTAAAAGCACTCTGGCAGAGTGGTTTTATTTTGTCTGCCTGCCAACAGGTGTAAGGTGTTGTGCTGTTCCTTTAGCAGAGAGCAAGAGCAGGAAAACAACTGTCAAGCTCAGGCTTGTTATGAGGTGACAAGAACACAAGCGTCGCGCCAGTACTGCTTCCCCTCAGTCTGTTTCTAACGGCCAAAGCAGGCAGGCACCTCTGGTGTTAGCTGTATTTTGCTTGCTCAAGACAGTTGTCTTTTATGGACCAGTAAACTTAGGATAATTAACACTTAACTCTTTCCCCGCCATTGATGGAATATTCCGGTTTTCCGCGTTTTCACTGTTATACGGTAGGGGGCGCTATTACACATCTTCTAAAAGAGCCCATAATATCCGATCAAGACACAGGTGAAGAAGCAGATACAAGCGATAGCATATGTCAGCAGATGCATAACACGATCATCAACATTAAACGGCATATAAATAAAAACAACCAAAACCTAACGTTACCAAATGAAATGTCGACCCAGGATGAGCTATAGGATGGTGAAGTGTTGATGGACTTGATCTTGTCCATCTATCATCATTCTGAATCCCATCCAGATGTAGTCTTTGACAAAAATACAATTTTGTTTAAAAGCAGAGGGTCTGTTATTTCTTTTGATACATTGGATGTTCAGATATTCTGGGGGCCATGAAAGTTCGGTAACACTTTATTTTGATAGTCCACTTTAGACATTCTACTAACTATAAGTAACTTTGGAGCTACATGTCAACTAACTGTCATTTGAGTATTAATAGACTGTCTGCTTAATATCTGCTAACGATTTATTTTGTTGGTCCCCCAACAGACATTCTACTGACTATAAGTAACTTCGCAACTACAAGTAAACTTGTTCTCCTAACCCGAACCCTAACACCTAACCATAACCTAACAGTCTATTGACAGTCTCCTACAGTCTACTAACACTCTAATGACAGTTAGTTGACATGTAGTTGAAAAGTTACTTATAGTTAGTAGAATGTCTAAAGTGACTATCGAAATAAAGTGTAACCGAAAGTTCTGTGAAAATGTTAAATGTTGGTGCTGCCGGAGAAAGAGTTAAAAGAAGTTTTGAAAATCAGGAGATGAAGGTCGAAACACTTCCAATATGGATAATCTCTTTGCATTAAGAGAAAGTTGTACAATGTTTTCGCATTTGAAAAATGTATGTGTTGTGTTAATGCTAGCTGTGTCATTGCCTTAAAGGGTTAGTTTACCCAAAAATGTTAATTCTGTCAGTAATTACTCACCCTCATGTCGCTCCAAACCCGTAAGACTTTCGTTGATCTTCGGAACACAAATGAAGATCTTTTTAATGAAATTAGAGCTTTCTGTCCTTCCATTGACAGCCTACGCAACTACCACTTTCAAGCCCCAGAACGGTAGGAAAGACATCATAAAAGAAATCCATGTTACTCTAATGGTTAAACCTCGGTTTTATGAAATGGCGCAAGTGCTTTGTTTGCACACACAAAAAAAAACACAATTTACCACTTTATTTACAGAATATAAATCTCCAACACTCATTCAGTGTGGAGTGCATCACAGACAACAAAGTAAGAATTCAAAGACAGAATTCGAAGGTTAACTGTGGTTTACTGGTTGAATTTATGCTCATTTCGTTTTGTGTTTGTAGGAGGCCAGTTTGTCCATCTGGGTTTACTACAGTGACAATACCGCCGCCCCCCTGAGTATGTACGACCCTAAAGACTACAACCTCAATGCCTCCACAGCAGATGATAAAGTGGTTTCGGTGGCTCAACAACCCCAGGGGCGGTGGCCGGTCATCGTTGCTGAGAGTGAGGGCACAGGAGAGGTAGTGCACGTGGAGATGACCATCAGCGAAACCTGCCAGAAGACTAAACGCAAGAGTGTAATTGCTTCATCTCCTGTGTTCGTCAAAGTCCGCTTTGGACCAGATGAAGACTCTGAGGAGGAAGTGGATACAGATACTGAAATAGACACTAGAATGGCTTCCAACACAAGAAAGCCAGCTATCGATCCCAACGTAGGTGGTGCAGGGTATGAGCCATCTAATGAGCAACCCGCAAGCGTGCCCATTGATTACACCAACTTCCCTACAATAAGCAATTCTGAGGAACCAACTGAAGAAGATGAGGAGGATGACGAGTTTGTGCACAATCCCCGTAGCATGACTGACCTAGAGATCGGCATGTATGCTCTCCTCGGCGTGTTTTGTCTCGCCATACTGGTCTTTCTTATAAACTGCATTGTGTTTGTGTTGAAGTATCGCCATAAGCGCATCCCTCCTGAAGGCCAAGCCAACATGGACCATTCCCATCACTGGGTGTTCTTGGGTAACGGGGAACCCCTGCGCACCCAGAACGACCTCTCGCCTCAAACGGTGGAGAGCCCCAGCAACACCTTGGAGGGGGTACAGACATGTTGTCACGGGGACCACCACAGCAGTGGCAGTTCGCAGACCAGCGTACAAAGCCAAGTCCACGGCCGAGGAGACGGCAGCTCCGGCGGTTCCACCAAAGACCACGGAGAAGATGCCAACTCGCCAACCTCCAAACGCAAGCGTGTCAAGTTCACCACCTTTACCCTTCCCACAGAGGATTTACCCTACAACTCCATCCCCATTGCCAATGAAGAGGACATTCAGTGGGTTTGTCAAGACATGGGCTTTCAGGACCCAGAGGAACTGCACGACTACATGCGCAGGATAAAGGAAATAGCCTGATCGGGTTATATGCTTTCTAAAGACGTTCCTTTCTATTTTTCTCTCTCTTATTTTTCACTCTAGAGGAGGTACCTTTCACGAAGAAAAAAAAACAACCAAGGCCTAATGTCCAGTTTTGTTGGGGTTTTCTGCACAGTGCTGTTTCCCTTACACATTGACACTATAAAAAAATATATTCATGACGCTGCCAGGGAAGCCAAAGACAAGTCTAAGGGATTCTAGCTAAAATGGCTTTAGCGGTGTGTGTGATTGCTGCTCAGTAGAAGGGTGAGTGTACAATCTTTCTGGGAAACAGAGTTTTTTAGTTGTGAACACTAATATCAAAATTAATCCCTGAAGTACTCAATCATGTGTGGGTCATCCTTACTGTGGATGGGATCTTTCTCAGAGGAATGCCTGGAGTCTTGGCACTGTGTCCATTTTTCTTCTTCTCTCTTTTTTTTTCAATCCAACAGATTCTTCTCCAACAAAGAGGCCTTTGACGTGCAGATCTACTTTTGTCCCAGATTTGTGTTTGAGATGGATCATTTTCATGCCATTGTTGATAAACCTGACACTTAGCCACAGAAACTGTCAGGGATGTTCGTGAGAACGTGCCATGGATTCTTTTCTGTCAGTGTTGGAAAGGTGGAATGGTTTTATCCCCCTGCCCCTCTTTTCAGCGTTATCTCAGTTCAACACATGCCTTGGTTGTTGAATTAGTTATTCGTCTGTCTTTGGTATTTCATTCTCAAACTGGATCCCACCTCTGCTTCTCTCACTGTCTTGGTTAAGTCAAATGCCTTATTAAATGAATCTCAATAGTCACAACCTCTCTCTGTGCTGACACCACATTTGTTCATATTGGTAAGGGCCAAAGCAGGGGGCAACTCTACGGATGTCTGTATCTCAATGAAATGTGTCGGCATGGGGAAGACGAGAGCTTGTACATTGTGGAGTTAGGTATCTTCTCCAACATTCCTCTGCATGAATGGAGACTTGGAGGCACAATTAGCGCAATTTTGTTTCTTTTTTACTTTGTATATGTTTGTATTGTGAGAATTATCTAATCATGCATAAATGATAATAGAGGACATATCATGTTACCATGCATTACATGCATGTGCCAGACCCTCCCTCCTATGTACATACCATGTTCAGTACATAACGACTGCTGACGCTCAACTCTTGATGACTCAGTTAGCCTGAGAAATAAGGGAGGCAGATGCCATATAGGAACTCGGCAGCCAGATACTTGAATTTCAGTGAGGCTCTCGTTTCTCTTTACTGAACTCACCGTGAATTCCCATCCAGGTGGTAATAGAGTTAAGGATAAAATGCTATGCAAACACACTGGAGGGGTTGATTATTGTGGTTAGGTAAATCTGCCCTAGATGTTATTATAGCACCACGGTTACTTTCGTTAATATACCAAGAAATATCTCAAACTAGTTGGAACATCTGCCACAGTGTAAATTGCAGGTTTTGAGATTTAAGTTGTTGTTGTTGTTTTCTTTTGTTGTTATTTTTTACTTTGAAACACGCTAGATTTGTTAAAGAAAACACCACAAAATGCGGTAGCACAGTAGATCAAGCCCAAAAATGTAAACATTTACTAGTTTAGAAAGGGTTAAGCTGGTAACGGGTCTGGAAGCTTGTTTTGTGGTGGGGCACAAATAAGTTGTATCTGTATTGCTGCTGACCAATCACAGGTTAGTTTCAGGGTTACAGTCCCAACCCTCGGTTTCTTCAGGATGTCTAAATTCACACACTGTATTAAATGCTTATTTCCCACTGTGCTTTTTTGTAACATGCAGGATTTACCTTTGACTTGTTTTTAATAGTCTCATTAGTCATTTTCCTGTAACCGGAGGGAATACCTATATTTGCTTTCTTTGTTTTATAGTAATTTTATTATATTATTATTATTTTTTTAAATAGATCACCCCTAATTTAATCAGAGGCCCTTTGCACTCCAGATAAGAGTTACAGAGAATTTAATACTGACACCTCTCCACCTTTCTCCTATGATTTGTTGCCCTCTTCACCCTTTTTATAAAAAAAAAAGGAATAAATAAACCCTCAATCATATGATGTGTGATGAAATGTTAATTGATGATGTAACACGTCAAGGTATTAGGTTTTGATTGACAGCTGGAGTGTTGGTCAAATGTTTAGTTTGGCACACACTTTACAGATATGGAGGCTCAGAACTGAATGTAAACTTTTCAACTGTACCTTGGTGATCAAAATGAACATAATTTCCAATGTATTATTAAGGTCTTCTGATGGGGTACACGAGACTCGATACGACTACTAGCAAGTCTCTGGTAGCAGCTCATAGACGTTTCCGTGTTCTAAAATGATTTTCCTTAGTGTAACATCACCATCAGGACATTTTTGGTTTCATATTGTTTTCTACTTTCAACTGATGTAAGTATGTATGTATATGAATCAGCAGTTGCAATATCTGTGCTTTCATTTTTCTTTTTCAAGAGGAGCTGCTACTAGGCCTTTGCCTTGACCACATGCTGTGTTGTGGTGTAGATTTGAGCTGTACTCTATGACCTGCTGAAGCACGGGACTGTCAGCCATGTGCTGTCACACCCTTAATGTACAGAGCACTGTTACAACATCCTGTATCCTCCCTAAAAAACAACTGTTGTATTTCCCTCCTTATATGTAAGTACTAAAGAAAATACAATGCATAAACTCTGTGTTATGTCTTTTACTTGACAATGTGTCTGTATTTTAATGCGCTATCCAAACAATAGATGTCTTAACCTACTTGAGCTCTCTAGACAGCTGTTCATTTGTAAAGACTATTGTTGTTTGTTAATAATAATCCACAGCGGAAAAGAAATGAAAAAAAAAAAGTTCCTTTTCAAGGAATTTTTTGCTATTTTATTTTATAATGGCATTAGTAATCAGTGCACAAAGCAAGTTGCTACAGAGGTACAGAGGCGAAGCAAGTTGTTATATTTGAATTCAAAAATTACAAAGACAAAAGTGCACTGATGAACTGCTTACATTAATACCAGAAGCATTTGGAAAGTTAGAAGTATTGACTTTTATTTGATCAAATGTGAATATGTGTGTGTGTGTGTGTATATATATATATATATATATATATATATATATATAAAACTAAATTAATATAACATTAACGAAATATAAAACGTGTAGGCAGAGTGCACTTTACACACTTAAGTACAGTTAAAAAGTGGACTTGGTAATAATGTCAAATGTTTTACTTTAAAGAGCATGAGAATAGTTATGTTTAAATAGTCTTCTGACAATCTTTCATAATATAAATAGTTATGAAATTACATACAAGTGTGTTGAAAAAAAATCCATAAAGTTTTGGAACAACTTGAGGGTGAGTAAATGATGACAGAATTTTCATATTTTGGATGAACTAAGGTCAATTAACTGCATTAAATGTCAATTTAAACTATAATATATTTTGATTTAATTACAAATAAAATGCAATTAAATGTCCGAAAACATTACATTCAGTTTGCACTAGAAAAAAATATATTATTTCCGTAATAAGTAAGTGTGATTCTTTTTCACAAGGGTTCATAAGGTCATTTCTATTTGCTTGGGTCATCAATTTGTAAACTTCATCATAGCCAGTACACGTCACGCAAATCTTGAGATTACATGGAAAATGTCAGACAAAAAATAATGTAATACTTTATAAGTGAACTTTAGTGTACTTTTAAAACAAGTATCACGGAAATAATGTACTTTAAAACAATATACTTAACTGCAAACAATTTATTATAGTTTACGTTTATATTAAATGCAATAGGCTGTAAGTTTAGATGTAGTTGTACATCTATATATGTTATTTCATGTTTGTATTTTAAATATGGTTAAAGTGTACTGCCAAATGTTTTGGCAGGCATTTATGGACTAAAATATACTTTAAAGCCATTTCTGTGGACACTTATATTTACACATGTAATGATGTAGCAATTTAGTACATTGAAAACATATAGCAATCTGATATCAAATAACAGATTACAGTTAACATTATAATCAATTACTTTACATGTCTTAGTATGTAAGCCCGCACATCAAAATACTTATTGAAACGTGACAAAGCATTATAAAAAAACATGATTTAAAATGTTCTTTAAAGTAAAACTTTTATTTGACATTATTACAAAGTGCACTTTTGGGGTGTACTTTAAGAAATTGTCATGAAAGAGTGCTTTCTTTATTTACACTTAAATGGCCTTTCATTTCATTAATATATTTTCTCCAAATACAATTTTTTTTAAGTATAATTTTAAAATGTGAAGTACACTACAAGTGCACATTCAATACAATCAAGCACACTTTTTTTCACAAGGGTTTAACTTAATTTATACTTCATAACCTTTCAATGCATAATGAAATGCAAGATTTTATTCAACATATTTTTCTAATGGGATTTCAACATGTAAATGGGTTATAATACATATCCAAATGCTTTAAAATGGCTATAGTGCTTCACGTTCATTGCTTCACATCATTACTTTTATTTCCATCATTGCTTTTACAATACCAGACTCACACATAAACACTCTAGAGGTTAGTAGTAGGTAAAATGAGAATAACAACCGCCTTCATGGCATCTGTGACTGCCTTCGAGGATGTACACTCTGAGCTTAGAACTCCCATGGGAAATAATGTGGGTTTTCAACTGATGCAAAGACTTCTTCACTTACAGGTCTTGTTATATTGTGCCGAAATGTGAGAAAAGGAAAGTGTTTCTGTTGCTGTACATACAACAGTAGACTTATACCTATTTTGCACCTTAGTGTCACATCATTTCGTGTACCAGTCCTGTATGTATAGTATACCTCCCCTGTGTCAACACGAAACTTTACAAATCTTGGTTTTGTTTTTGGGGTCTACTAGAATAGGTTTTAATGCTTAAATATTAAAAAACACCTTTTTCACCTTTTTCCCATTGTTGCAGCACCTCTTTTCCCAGTCTGTCAGTAACACTCTGTTCAGTTCCTTTTACTATGAAGCCCCTCCTTCTGAAAAGCACAGTGTGCTCTGATTGGTCGGCTGGATCAGTGTGTTGTGATTGGTCAACTGCTTTGAGCATGTTTCAGAAATGTCACGCCCCTTAACATAACCACGCAACTCAACCCGACCTCGACCAATTTTTTTGCATATGACTTGGGTGGGAAGTATTTAAATGAGGAATATTGTGACCTATTTGAATCCCGGAAGAAAACTCAAGACTACAATGGAGGCGACTCAGGGAGTTCAGTAATGGTGCACGCTGATATAGAGAATGACTCCCTTTGAAATGACTTTGTGCTTTATAACTTTGCAGACCTTTTTCATGCTCAAATGCAACAAAGCATAATAGGTCCTCTTTAAACTCTCTGGAAACAATTCTCTGGAAGGTTGGGTGGGTATAACGTCTGTCATCAGGGAGAAATGCTCTAAATCACAGTGCAGATCTATTTGACTAGATGGGGAAATCAGTAAATCTTCCTGAATAAAAAAAAAAAAAAAAAAAAAAAACCTTTCATCAACACATCAGACTAATAGGTACCAACAGTAAAGTGAAGGCAGAACAAAGCCACGGTCTTCATTTAGAGAACAGTGGCACAAAGGTGACTGTAACAGAAGATTGATATTATTAAGCTGAAAAAGAAAATGTGTAATATCACTCCCCAGGTATGTGTATTGTGGGAACACGCATCAGCTGGCAAAGTAGCCTGTAATATAACCATGCAATGTTTCCAGACATTTCATCAGCTGGGAGTTGTCAGGAATGTCACCGCTTGAAGCCACTCATAATTAAAAGGTTGGGAGTTATCACACATCGCAGACTTGCCAGCATTTGATGGAGTGCATTTGGAATGCATCCTAATTGAAAGCTTTTATTGAAGAGATTAATTAAAATGAAAAATTAAAGGGAAACAAGCAAATACTGTAGAGTAATGGTCTTGTTTTAGTTCTGGGCGCCTGTATATATATCATTATTTTAGACCAATAATGATTCAACATGACTGTGTAAAGTTAAGTTTTTCAATTATGATAGAAAGTCTAAGTATAACATTAATGTATTTTTTTTTTCAATCAGAGTTTTGGTACAGCCCCCGGGGTAGCTTTCAAAGGCTCTTTTACAGAATTTAATTTACGTTTTATAGTGTTCTAGAAAATCTCTATAAATACCGTCTCTTTAGCTGTTTTGCAATTTACATGCACAATTTTCAAATGGGGAGATGCACATGTTATTCTCACTTTGGCAGTAAATTATTAATTAATTTATTCTCCCGACTACTTTATATGTTTTATATTTTCCTTTCTAATAAAAAAAAAAAAACCTTATATAAACCTTCTGTTTATACATTCAGAAGGTCTTCCAGGTTTGTGGGTGAGCTCCGCACTGCAACCGACCTCGCCCTGCGGGGCACGAAGGCATCTCTGGCTCAACCTGACGGATATGAGAGAAGCGGACAAGGTTCGGTTCCTGGACTCTCCCATTTCCCAGGTTGGGCTGTTCGGCGACGCGGTACAGAACTTTGCCCAGCAGTTCTCGCCCGCCCAGAAGCAGACGGAGGCCATCCGGCACATCCTGCCCCGACGACCTGCTGCTGCCTCCACCAGTCTGTCGATGGCAGATCCGGCCGCAGAAGGGGTGACCCGCCCACTTCAGGCACTGCCAAGCCAGATGGCAAGCGACAGCGAAAGCATTAAACCTGAGGCGGGCCACCCAGTGGAGTCAGGTAAGTGCTGCACTGCACACTTCGGGCCGCCTCCGGGCCTCTCAAGCCCCTGTTCTCGACCTCGCTGCCCCACCTCGGGTACGTCTGTGGTCTCCCTGGCCCCTGGCACAGTGCTTGTAAGCCTAAAAGTGCTTCCTACCGGTCCACCTGGCCCCAATCTGACCAGCAGACTCGGCTTGCGATTCATTTCGCTTGGCTGCCGCCCTGGCTCAGTGATATTCATCATACCTAGGTGTTGAGCAGAGATGCTCGTAAAATTAGTGATATTTATCACACCTACGTGTTGAGCGCTGCTCCTGTCCT